TTATGCCTTTGCGATACACAGGCTTTTTTGCTAGTTTTGAAAATTATTGTAGTTGTAAGAAACCTCAAGCTGCTGGTGGCACCAAATCTGAGGTTTTGTCCAGACCTCAAAAAGTTAGCAAACCTACCCTAATAAAGTTAGCCTACACCTGACCAGATTGCATCTCTTGAGTCCTTACTCCTTAATGGAGGATCCACATAAAAAAGCTTCCTGCATTATGATCCAATCATCCTGGTGACCTCTATTCTGGCTCCAGCAAACTGTTGTTTGATTAGGCGGGGGGGGTGTTCTGAAATTTTGTTGCTTTAAAGCCTGATGTGGGACACTTATTTTGTGCTTTTTGCTCTAGGACAGCTGTTGTGGAAATCAGCCAATGGACATTACATTATCTTCTGTTTTTATCAGTGTTTAAAAGGTGGCTAGGCGTCCAGGCAAGTGCTCGGTACGCCTGGATGCCTAGGCGACGCCTTTGAAACACTGGTTTTCATGCATTGGCTATTGGGCACAATTTAGTGCCCTTCTGCACACGTTTGTTGTTCCAGAATACTAAAATCGTGTCCTGTAGAAAATTTCGTACATTACATGCCTTCCTGCTACAGAATTTGGTTGAAAAATATAAGCTTAATTTTGTACCTGGGTGTTTTTTTGGTCAGATGTAGAATTTGGATTGGACCATTCAGTTAAGTTACTTTTTCATTAAGTCAGATGTACACAATGGTGCTATTTCCTGAGATCTAAAAGTGCTGTTTGGAAATAACTTCGTCCTTCCATTGTTTTTTTTCACTTGTTTGCAGGATAACATTTCTCATCGCTGAAGCTTGCCTCCTAGGAGGATCGGTGAGGAATGCAAAGCACACCAAGTATTTAGGCTACTATATGAAGCATGACTGACCTGCGCCACCCTTCGCAAGGGAGTCTTCGCAGCCGCTGCTGCAATGATGATCATCAACCTCTTGGCGTCCCTTGTGTACTACTGGAGTTACTCAAAAGCAGGGACGGGTGGATTCATGAAGCACCAAAATGAGGTTGGTGTGGGCATGACGGATTACGGCCTTGACAAGGGTGTTTCTGGGCCCTGAGTGAGGAGATGGAATCTTATCGGCGTCTCCGCACTAGGGGTTGCACCTGCGGTATGATATGTCGTTGAAATGTATGTGCACGAAGTTCTGTTGTTTCTCTACGGTGTGAATGATATACCATGATTGTACTCTGACATGTGTAGTGGTGATGTTGTATGGTCGTGATTTGTCTGTGAAAAATGTGGTAGCATTAGCTGTGTTTGCTGTTGTGCACGAGCACGACACCGGCACGGCTTCCTGCTCACGGTGGTTGTTGTAAAGCAGCAGAAATCAAAAGCGGGACTTCAATGTTCTTCGCTGTCATTAAATCATGCAAGGTAGTACTGTACTGATTTTGCACTAAAATGGCATCTGTTAGGCATGCGATGACCGACTGCATCTTTATTCGTCGCCTAAAGTTAGTACTGCTTCCGTCCTAGTATCTCCGGAGCATGTGTATACTTGGGAAATTTACTGCACAAAGTTATAGTTTACGTTGACATAGCACAAAAGAAATACTTGCACTATTGTCCACAGCACAAAAGATTGCCCTGAAAAAAAAATTGAAAACACGTTGAGCACTCATCGGATCATGAATAAGACCAGTCTTAGTAGATATTTTTATTTGAGTTTTATGTGCATTAAATAAGTTGGTATGCATAGTATAGATGAAAAGAGATGTTTCATGAGATGAAAAGAGTTTTATAGAGATAAAACTTGTCACATTGTTTCAAACATATGATAGTCTTCGAAACTAGGACATAGGCTGTCACTATATAACTGAGCCGGCTCACTCGTTTGGGCTCGGCTTCGCTACGTTTTAACGAGCTGCTTGGCTCGGCTCGTTATCCTAACGAGCTAGGAAGCCGGTTTTTTTAAAAAGCTCGAGCTGGCTCGTTAAGAGCTTTATAAAAAATACACAAAAAATATAATATTTGTATTTTTCTAAAGTTTGAGAATAATAATAATACAAAAGAAATGCATCTAGACCAGCTACCAATTTATAGGGTCTAGAACAATTTACCAATTGTAAAGTCAAGACACAAATAATACAAAAACTAATACAAGTTTTGATACTTTTTTTCTGGATGGATGTTTAGCTTCATCCAAGAACTCTTTATTGAGAATGGTCTAAGTGAATCATGAGAGCCAGCTGCCATAATTTTGAGTTTTTTCGTCAAATTTTAGCTGTCACATGCGTTTTTGATGACATGACAATGTTTTTGAAAAGAGAGAAGTTTCTAGATGAAACTCTTTTAGCACAATTACCAACTTGTCATGAAATTAAAACTATGCATTGAGGATGGATGTGTCATCCAAGAACTCTTTATTGAGAATGGTCTAAGTGAATTGAGCCAGCTGCCATAATTTTGTTTTATTGCACTCATCAGGATTTGAGTGTGAGAGATTTGGATGCATTGGTCAACGACATTTGTGCTTTCAGTGGTAGGCTTTTATCGACAGCAAGGTGACTGTGGTGACTTCGTCAATCTCGATGATTTGCTGGCTCTGTTTCGAAGATGCTCATAGAGTAGGGTTTTATGTGCATGTATTCATAGGGGTGAGTGTACATGTATTGTACTGTGTAATTCTAAAAACACGTAACTCAAAAGTTTTAAGTTACTACATTGAGGTATTTGATTGTTATGTCAAGTTTTTTTTTTGTTGATTTGGCGTTGGTGAATGAAAAACACTATACTATCAGCACTCGACGTCTTGACTTTGAATTCTGGCCATCTTGAGGGTTTGAAATTGTGGCCATCTTGAGTTTGAATTTTGGTGGGTACAATTAAATAAAATAATTACACTTGGCTCATACTATTTACGTATTTAAGGCCCTGGTGGATGCAATGAAATAAAATAATTACAGTCGGCTCATATCTCCATGTTTGCGGCCTTCGGGAACCGGGGGTTTGTTTGCAAGCAAGCGAGTTGACCACCATTATACACATTTTGGTTTAATCTAGTTGTTGCAGTGAACTAAGTATAGTCAGGACGTCAGGTCAGAGGCCTTGAGTTTAGAACCCGGCAAGCACATTTAAATAAATAATTATACCAAATCTTATTGCCACGTTTGAGGCCTTATTTATCTCCTACCTTTGCAAATAATTATCTAAGTGGTTGGACAAACAATAATTAAAGTCTTTCTAATGACATGTATATAGAATGATGATGACAAAGCATATACAAATGCATTACGGTTGAGTTATATGATGTCCCTTCCCCATCCTAGTTATATGAGATTGATGAATCCTAATGCAAAAAAGGGACACGAACCTCAAGTAATCGGGTCAGGGCAAATTGTAAGGAAGAGAGTAGTTCAATTTGGCATATATTGTAACGAAGAGAGTAATTGGATTTTCTGTGGGGTAGGATAGGCGGTCACATCAGTGTCACGTGCCTATAATTAATTTTCTTGTGATCTTTAATGAGTTTTTTGAAAAAAAATATTCTTATTTATAGATTATTTTTAGAGCAAGATATTGGACTTATTTCTAGACCATTCTAATAATTTCTAAAAAAAGGAGGAGCAAGTAATTAAGCATCGATGATTCCTGTCTAATAGATTTAGTGATTAATTTACTGTCTCGCTTTCTGAGTTGCATTTTCAGAGCTTGATTTACACAGACGGACCATGAACTGTAATAATGAATGGTTGCATGCATAACGCATACAAAGGCTAGAATATAATTTATTTTTCTATATAAGTGTTTTCCTATGGATTTTCAAGATTTAAGTTCTTATCTTTTATTCAGTTTCATGTGGACCTAGAGGATATGTGAAACTTTTCTACAGACTCAAAAGCACACTACAACATTAAAACCAGATATTATGCACTGAACTCTAAATATTGTTCGACCTCCCTTGCCTCATTTGTAGCGGGTTTAAAGGCGGTATTGTCCTGTCTTTAGTTAACAATAATACAGTAAAACACTTGATAAGGTTTTTAAACCATGGGAAAATGTCTCTAAGTTTCTAAATTTTTTTATAAAAATCTTAGAGATAGATTCGGATACAGAAAATACAAATAAAACATTTAGAGCTTATGAAAATATCTTAGTTTTAAAAAATAGATTTACCTCTACAAAAATGTGAAAATCTAGAAAATTCTCAAAAGAATTAGATTTATGTCTAAACAACGCATTGAAAACTTTTTACAATAAAAATATGAGATGCAATGAATAGGAATGCAAAGCATGAATGCATTCAACATTAATATATGTTACATTCATGCTAGTAAATTTTAAATTTTTTTTGTCGTGGAAAGTTTTTCAAACATCTTTAGACATCGATTAGAATGTTGCTGAAGTTTTCCATATTTTTTTGGGACATTTCTCATTTTGTTAAAACTTTTAGAGATGTTTTCAAGACTCTAAATATTTCCTTTGGTTTTGTCATGTCCAGTGACTCAATCTATTTCTAAGATTTTTCTTTAAAATTTTAGAAGTTTAGAGATATGCTCCATGGTTTAAAAATCTTTTCTAGCATTTAACGGATTTTCATTAACTAAAAAAGATAAGACCGTCTTCAAAAACCTTTGAGAGCTCGGGGTAAAATGTGTTTTCAAATTTGTTTGAGGAAAAAATAAAACTACAGTGATAGTTTATGTAGGTAAACCGGACTGTTTTCGAATGTTTTTTTTTTGCCCATCAGGAGGTTTATATTAAGTTTTTTTTTCCGAAAACCTGGAGGTTTATATTAAGTCAACACAAAAACAGTGTAGAGATGACCCAAGACTAATGGTCTGAAACCGAGCCCATTAGCCCACCTTACAGCCCACGTAATCATGCACGTGCAATGTGCAGTCGTCGTTGCCCAATTCAACATTTTCCCTCCATCTTCCAGCTTCCGCTATATCTACCTCCCCTGGCCCCTGCTTCTTGTCGCATAATCGCATCCTCTCTGCTTCTGCGTCTGAAAATCACCAACGCGGCACCACCAATGGCACGGCCTCGTTGCAGCAACGCCGTCTTCCTGTCCTTCAACGTCCTCACCCTCCTCCTCGGCGCGGCCGTACTCGCGTGGGGCATCTACGCCGGCGCGCCCCACCGTGGCGGCGCCACCGACTGCCAGCGCTTCCTCCGCACACCGGCCCTGATCCTGGGCGCGGCCGTCATGGTCGTCTCCATGGCCGGCATCGCGGGCGCATGCTGCCGCGCGTCGCTGCTTCTCTGGCTCTACCTCTTCCTAGCGGCGCTGCTCATCCTCGCCGTGCTCTGCTTCGCCGTCTTCGCGCTCGCGGTCACCAACGCCGGGGCCGGCCAGGCCATGTCGGGGAGAGGGTTCAAGGAGTACCGGCTCGGGGATTACTCCAGCTGGCTCAGACGGAGGGTGGAGGACGGCCGCACCTGGGGAAGGATCAGGAGCTGCCTCGCGGAGGCCGGCGTGTGCCGGAGCTTGCAGAGCAACCGGACGTTCAATGAGTTCGTCAACGACAACCTCTCGCCGGTGCAGGTCAGTGAACATAGCGTGTTTCCAAGTTACACCTACGGATCTAAGGGCCTGTTCGATCCATTATTTAGCACTAAAAATTTGTAGCTAAAACAGACTTGCTAATAAATCTGCTAATTATTAGTTTGAGGGTTGCTAATTATTAATTCCATTAGCAAGTTTGGAGTTACTCTTTAACTCATTATCCAACCACCTTTTAGCAGACGGATCCAAACAGTCCCCTGCTAAAAGTTAGCAGCCGTTAACTAGCTAATTTTTAGTGCCAATGAATCAAACATGACCTATGTAATGATCTACTATGTAATCTTCATAGTATAAACTAATTGTGAAGGTAAAAAGTGGCTTTAAGATTGTGTTCTTAAAAAAGGTTCTACTTTTTGTATGAAAAATTGTATTTTCTGTGCATATATTGTTGCAAATTTTCTTTGAAAAGTAGTATGGTCTAGTTTTTGCATTTTGTCCCGCAAAGGACAGGTTCTTCAGCTTCCTAATGTCAATGTTACCTAATGCATGCATGTATCCTAAAGTCAACAGGAGGACATCTTCACCTGAACTGCCCTTAGATATTTTTTGAAAGCAAATGCTTTCTTGACCCATTCTAGTGAAGTGATCCAGTGGATTGCTGAAGTTGCTTCTTTTAGCATTTAACTGTTTGTTTAGAACAGGCAGAGAGCGACTCTTTGGAGAAAAAAATTCAGGTGACAGCACGGTGTGTACTGTGTACTATTTTATGCTGTACCCAGGGGCAAGTGCTAAAATCTAAATTATTAGGAGGCAATTTAATATATTTTTTAAATTACATATATAATAAATTTTCATGTAGACAAGGGGGTTGAGGTCATATTTAGTAGCTCAAGGGCGTTGCATGGTTTTTTCATGGTAGAATCCACTAGTAAATATAATGTTTTGGTCTTTACACCTATTTTCAAGTTTTCAATTCCTCCCAGAATTGATATTTAGCAACCTATTCTTACCTTCAAGTGTATATGCGAGATATCGGTTTGATAAAGTTAATTTGAGATGTACACAATGTGAAATTTTGTGAAAGTACCGGGGTCTAGAATAACCAATATGCAAGTCAGTACCTTTCATCTGGCATCACTGGATGTGATATTTAGCAACCATCACGACTTCATCAAAGTCTTACATGCGCAATAGCTAGCAGAGTTAGATGACCAGGACAAGCTTGTGATCCATACCATAGGATTTCAATCAACGCTAACAACTCTTGTAAACTACTAAAAGTTTTCAGTAGATGATAGTGATGGTAATGGGTAATCGTGAACGGAAGGCTTCTACAGTGTATATCCATTGATTTGGTCTTAGACGTGCACTTGCAAGAGCATGCTTCTACACTCCACATGTGCTTTTCCAATAAAAGCATTTACCATATTTAATTTCCATGTTGCAAAAAGGTCAAGTCAACCCACTCTGATTCAGCTGTGATCGTGCATTTTCTGAAAAAACATGTGTGGTCATCGTCTTCCTGCAAAAATCAGATCCACTACATCCATTTTCCAATCCTAAGGAATTAACAAGAGTTTAAAAAACATGAAAATATAGACAAAAGGAGTTTGTGATCCAACTTGCATTGTGTTTTGCAGTCGGGATGCTGCAAGCCCCCAACCGAATGCAACTTCGCATACCTGAACGAGACCTACTGGATGAAGCCCTCAGGTCCTAGCAACTCGTCCAACCCTGACTGTGACGCCTGGTCCAACGACCAGTCTGAGCTCTGCTACGCCTGCCAGTCTTGCAAGGCCGGCGTCCTGGGTAACCTCAAGAACAGCTGGAAGAAGATTGCCATCATCAACGCTGCGTTCATCGTGCTCCTCATCGTCGTCTACTCCCTCGGATGCTGCGTGCTTCGGAACAACCGGCGGCACAAGTACACCCTGGTTGGGAAGTAGTAGCTAGGAAGAAGAGTCTGATTTGGATCTTCAGAACTCAGAATAAAGATGAGTGCCAATGCCATGTAGGAGTGTATTTGTGTTCTCATGTGATGCCCCACTCCCACTGCAGCTATTTCTGAAGCTTCTGTGCAAGAATGTTGTGGATGGGTTTTCTTCTTCTATGTAAATGGTCATCGTGTGTGCCGATCGGGTTCTTATCAGTATGATATATGTGAGAATAAAATGAAACCATGGATTTTGGATCACACATTTTATCCAAATCATATTTTTTTTGTTTAAATTTCAGATTGAAAGAAACAGAGTACAAATTATGAAACATTTTTTCAAGGGAAGTTACACTGCGATCACTATTATCCTGTTTGGTATTTAGATTGTGCAAATGTGGAGGTTTTTGTTTCACGAAAGCTAAAAGCTAGATACCTTCAATGCAAGGATGAAGTATTGGCAGTTTGGGCAATGTTTGGGATTTTCAGATGAATCATTGCCTCAGCATATTCAGTGGGCACATACCATACAACTAGCAATAGTGCTCAAGGATCCTAGGTCACTAGCTAGTAGGAAGGCCTACTACAATTGGCAGAAGGGGTCCAACCTTTTGACAAACCTATGGAAGTGCCGATAATATAATTATTTGCTTTCCAGCTGATCGAGATCCTACATGTGAATGAATTTGGTTATTGTACATAGCCTTGCCTTTTACAGTCTTGATGAGTATTTGGTGTCCCACCGTATCTGAAACTGAACAAAAGAGAACAGTAAGAAACTGATGTAGCTTCAGATCATAACCCCTCCTATTTCTTATCTTTGAAAATATAGGAGTATCATTTATACTAACCAAATACAGCTGTTCTGACAAAATATTCAGTCCACCCAACATTTTTCCTATCCACACTGTGGAGTACGGTGTACCCTCAGTGATCTTGAAGCATGCACTAGTGTGCATACTTTGGATGGCACAAGTACAATAATGCACATATGTGCCCTCAAATCATATAGTCATGAATATGCTAGCTGTAATTAGTTCATTGTTTAGGGTGCTATTTACACATTGACATACCCCCACACATGGCCCAGCTGAGCCTTTTGGAACCGATTGACATTTCCATTTCCATATGATAGTGTTCTTACTGGACTAAGGATTAGGAAGGACATGGAAGTCTGTCGAGATCTTTCTTAGAAAGCCCGACCGAGACGAGCCAAGCCAGCAGGGGACTTGGGCCATTTGTAACTAACTGTTGTCCAGGAGTTGTGGCTCTTTTTTTTTCTGTGAGACAGACAGGTATGTGACAATTTCGATTCAGTTTCACTAGCTATCAGAGTTTGTTACAGGGTATCGAGAGAAATATAATGACACTGCCATGGGAAATCGAATGTGTATAATGTCCTGTTGGCATTGCGGTACTAGCTACTACTGTAGTAGGGAACAGCGATTTGCATGTGTGTTCGTCGGATTGAATCATTGCCTTCGGCATTCTTAGTGGTCTACATACAAGTTGCAATAGTGCTGTCGAATCCTAGGCCTCTAGCTACTAGATGCAACGACGGATACAGTTGTTGGATACAGTGTGGGTTCAGGTTCAACCCTTTACCTACTGAAGTAATGATAATGTACACTGCTAGTATTTTCGATCCCAATGTTGAACTGGACGCTTTAATGCAGCGTAGTTTTCTGAGCCTGAAATGGGGAGCAATGAGGAACTTGAAACTTTATTTGAAGACATAGGACACTGCTTACTCTTAGTTCTAGTCTTGGTTAAAATAACTATCTACTTCAGTGGAGAGACAAACATGGGACGAGTCATTTTGGACTACAAATTTATTTGACAACGTGTTTAGTTTAATTTCATTATAATCACCTTTGAGCACACCACCTCTTTTTTCCCTTAGCAGTACAGTACATAGAGGCTAGTAATATTATATGCCATATTTTGAACATACAGAAACAGAGCCTTAGACCAGAAAGATCCCCATGTCATCAGGACTGCAGACTCCACATACAAGCAGATTATATATTTTGCCCACCCAATTAATAAACCAAAATTTGCTAGTTATTTAACAACAAAACTTGTTTCACCAAATGGATGATGGCTTGTGTTCATCCTATGCTGTGAGGAGATACAGCAAAACCAGGTCCATCTTTGCACTGACATGTACTTGCACAACAGTTACATTACACTCTGGTACTGCTGCTAGTACTGCTAGCTATAGCTATAGTAAGTTGGCCCCCGGAGACAATTCATCGGACAGAGCTCTCCCATGCCCATCCAGATCAGACGGCGGCTTCAGTTGCGGTCCTTGCCTTCTGTGCATGCATGACATGAGCCTGGTGCCCAAGGATTTTCATTCAATCCTCTCACACCTCTCATGCAGCTCTGCACCTGCAGTCTCGCAGTTGCTGCTCCGTCCCTGCATTCGGCAGGCAAATGTTACTGACAGCGATGGATGGAGGATATATATGGGAAATTGTTTGTCATGGCGAGTCATTCATATAATATATTCTTCAGTGTTCCAAGTAAGGTTAAAAAGAAGCACCTTTACATAGATTATCCGCAAAAGTAAACTTAAGCAAAGAAGATTGATACTTTGGGCTAATCAAGAACTAGAAAAGGAGTCAATATAGCTGTATATTTCAGTAAACAAGTGTGCATTCAAATGGAAAAAATCAAAGCCATGGACTTTTTCTAGTAGAAAGGAAAAGTGTGAGATGGAGGTGGAAGGGTAGCTAAAACTTCAGAGTAATGCCATATGGATATGGAATGTACCACAGATACATCATCACACTTGTCTAAAAGAAGAGACATTTCAATCACTGACAGGAGGTACAGCAGTACAGTACTAGCTACTTATATATAATAACTCTGAATATAATAACCGTCAACACCGAAAACCCTGAATTCAGAATACTAAACTTTCAGATACTCATCAAAATCTAAAGAAACAAATAGCAGATGCAGACTAATATATTTACTGCACATCACACATAGATTAAACTAGATCATCCACCATCAAATCAAATTATAAAAAGACTCAGAAGTTCAAAAGATTGCACAGACAGCAGAGGACACTACACTCACCCTGAGATGTGAGATGAGATCATGACCTCAGCCCAGCTGGGAACGGGATCCTTTGCAGAGGCATTGCATGAGCTCCACCTGCGTCTTGAGGCACACAACGTAGTCCAGCGTCTCGGTGAGCAGGGAGAGACCACGCATCGCCTCCCCTCCCGGCACAAGGCTCCTCAGCACCTGCAGCCTCGCCCTCACCATCCTCCTGGTCGCCGCCATTGCACTGCATCTGCTGCCGCCGCCCCCCGCCAGCGGCAAGCTCCTCCTCTTCCTCCCGGCGGCGCCGCTACACACCCGGCGCGACCTCCTCACGATCCTCCTGCTCCGGGCTTCCTTCCTGACCCTCGCCGCCGCCGCGGCCATCTCGTAGCCGGCGCCGCCAATGATGCGGCGTAGGAGCGCCTCGTTGCGCTGCTCCGCCGCGTGCCTCGCGACGAGCGCGCGCGCCCACGCCGTCGAGCGCGGCGCCGCGCTCGGGCGGGCCCGTGCGGACGCCAGCGCCATCGCCACGTCCGAGGAGAGCCGCACGGCGTCCCGGCGCTCCCGGAGGCCCATGGACTTGGACGCCTGGCCGGCCTCGCGCAGGCTCAGCAGGAGCTGCGCCATGAAAGCCTTCTTGAACTTCCTCGGAGCATGCATTGGTGTCACTAGCGACGAACAAGCAATGGCCAGCTAGCTTCGTTCCTTTGCTTCTTCTTCTTTTTTTTCTTTCAGTTGGTTGGTTCTTGGAAGGAGGAGAAGAAGAAGGCGATGGATGGGTTTGTGTTGCTGTAGGAGTTCCAAGAGGAGAGGTTTATGTGAATATAAAGCAGCAGCAGCAGCTAGCTAGGTGAGCCCAAGAAAGTTGCATGTGGTCTTGCTCAGCTGCTATTCATTGCGCAGCGGGCAGGGTATATTGTTCTGCTTTGAACCATCCATTTGGATTTATTAAAAGAAACAGCCCTGTTTGCATTGGGATACTACTGTCTGTACTAGTATTTCTTTTTCTTTCTTTTGTTAACTCCAGAACAAGGAGTAAATTCGGCTAGAGTCGTACTTATTAGTTACAAAATCGGATAATTAGTTATCATTACTGATAAAAGGGCAGTATGTTGTAGTTCCAACGGGAGATTTATGATACTGAATAAGTACAATTAGATTAATCATAAAAGACATTCATGTAGTAAATGTATCTGAAGATATAAATGTTGATATTATTTTCTATAAATAGAGTTAATCTTTTTTCGAAAAAAAAACATCTTAGTTCCAAACTAGAAGTGCACTCCTTTTAGAACTGAGAGACTAATTATGTTCCTAAGCTAACATGTGTTGTGTTTGAATAAATTAAGTAAAAGAACTGGTATGCACAGAGGGAAAATATCTCCGATACATCAAGGGACCCACCCCAATCCCGAACGGTCAATTTAACTGTCAAAAGCAGTTATATAACTTCCACTGGAGCGAGCATCTTTTTCTATGAAATTTTATGTGCTCATTATTATATTAAAATAAACTTAGGGAGTAAGAAACAAAAGGTGAAGTCTGAAGTTTGAAAGATGGTATGGGAAAAGGAAAAGAAGAGGAGAAAGAGTACACTTTTCTGTTGGGGGGGGGCATGTTAGAAGGAGAGACAGAGAGGGTTGGGGGTGATGGGCAAAGAGAGAGGCAGACCATGCACATGCCTGCACATGCTGGACCAGCCCCACTTGGACTCTACTAACATCCAAATAGTCATAGTAAATCAATGCTAGGGTTGTTTCGCACCGCTCCGCTCCTGTTTTTTCTAGCTCTGCTCCACGAACTCCACCATGGAGCAGCTTCACCGTAAAGTTTGTGGAGCAGGTGGTACTGTTTGGCACACAGCTATGCTCCAACTCCAAGAATAGATTGTTTCTATGCAAATAGTCCATTATGTCCCTGATTCAAATTACACTTAATATTTTCCGACAAGAA